TTATTGCGCCCCAAAGACGCCAGTTCTTTATAAAATGTATCAACATAAAAAACGGGCAGGATATTTTGCGACAAACGTTTTGCTGTAAGTTTAATGTAACTCGTTCTTATTTATGAAGATCGTGTAGTTCCCAGACGTCGGAGTGGAATTCAATTTCTAAAGGACTTTTCGTGGTTCACCTTACGGCCTACATAGATGTAATGACTTCTACTGTGTTTTGAATCCTCTATTCTGCTTTCCCCACTCGTCCTTCCATCTCATCCAATCTGGCATTCGCCTTAATAATTTCTTCTTTTATTGTCCCTAATTGCTCTTTATTTTCTTGCCAAGCTCTCTTAGTTCGTGCAGAATCAGTTCTGTGTTGGTCATTTCTCCGCACTGCTCTACGATGCTTGCTAGTTAATACCTGTTAGCTGGTAATTGTTACTGTGCCCGTCTTTCTCTCCTCCGTCTTTGGATAACGTTTACTGCTCAGAGTGGTGATATGGTTTTTCCTCCCCTTTCTCTACGCTTTTTGCTGAATTATTTTCTTGGTTTGTATGGGGGTATTTCTTTGGCCGTGTTCCGACCGGAAGTCCCAAAGTTATTTATTTTTATATCAGTTGCTATCTCCATCCATCCATCCATCATCGTCCGCTTATCCGGTGCCGGGTCGCGGTGGCAACAGTCTGAGCAGAGACATCCAGCCTTCCCTCTCCCCAGACACTTCTTCCAGCTCCCAGGCCAGCCAAGCGACATAGTCACTCCAGCGTGTCCTGGGTCTTCCCCTAGGTCTCCTCCCAGAGGGACAGGACCCAAGCACTGTCCAGGGGTCATACGATGTAAATGCTCAAGCTACCTCAGCTGACTCCTCTCGATGTGGAGGAGCAGCGGCTTTACTTCGAGCTCCTCCCGGGTGACAGAGCTCCTCACCTCATCTCTAAGGGAGCGTCCTGCCACCCTGCGGAGAAAACTCATTTCGGTCGCTTGTATTCGGGATCTTGTTCTTTTGGTCATGACCCAAAGCTCATGACCATAGGTGAGGGTAGGAACGTAGATTGACCGGTAAATCGAGAGCTTTGCCTTTCGGCTCAGCTCCTTCTTCACCACAACGGACCGATACAGCGACCGCATTACTGCGGCTGCTGCACCGATCCGCCTGTCAATCTCTCGTTCCATCCTTCCGTCACTTGTGAACAAGACCCCAAGATACTTAAACTCCTCCACCTGAGGCAGGACTTCCTCTCCAACCCGGAGGGTGCAAACCACCTTTTTCCGGTCGAGAACCATGGCCTCGGACTTAGAGATGCTGATTCTCATCTCAGCAGCCCCAGTGCATGCTGCAGGCTTGAAGAAGCCAACAAGCCAACATCATCCGCAAAAAGCAGAGATGAAATCCGGTGGCTACCGAACTGGACCCCACCCGACACCTGGCTGCGCCTAGAAATTCTGTCCATAAAGATAATGAACAGAACCAGTGACAAAGGGCAGCCTTGCCATAGTCCAACATGCACCGGGAACAGGTCCGACTTACTGCATGCTTCGGTCGTACAGGGACCGAACAGCCCTCAGGAGAGGGCCCCTGACCCCATACTCTCGGAGCACCCCCAACAGAATACCACGAGGGACACAGTCGAAAGCCTTTTCCAAGTCCACAAAACACATGTGGACCGGTTGGGCAAACTCCCATGAACCCTCAAGCACCCTGTTGAGGGTATAGAGCTGGTCCAGCGTTCCACGACCAGGACAAAAACCGCATTGTTCCTCTTGAATCCGAGGTTCGACTATCGGCCGGATTCTCCTCTCCAGTACCCTGGAATAGACTTTTCCCGCGAGGCTGAGGAGTGTGATCCCCTGATAGTTGGAACACACCCTTGGGTCCCCCTTTTTGAAAAGAGGGACCACCACCCCGGTCTGCCAGTCCAGGGGTACTGTCCCGGTGCTTCATTGACGTGTCAACCAACATACAGCGACTTGAGGTACTCAGGGCGGCTCTTATCCAGCCCTGCCACTTTGCCACCGAGCAGCTTCTTGACTACCTCGGTTACCTCAGTGCAGGAGATGGGAGGATCAGCCGCCGAGTCCTCAGCCTCAGCTCCCTCCGCAGAAGTCGTGTCGTGGACCTTCCTGTGGGTGGTGGGCCTACTGGAAGGTGGGCCCACATCGTTTCTTTGGGCTGGGCCCAGCCGGGTCCCGTAGGCAGAGACCCAGCCACCACGCGCTCGCTTGCGAGCCCCAACTCTGGGCCTAGCTCCAGGGTGGGGCCCCGGTACCGCCAATCTGGGCGACGTGAGCTTCTTTGTTTTTTCTTCATCAAGGGTAGTTTGAACTGCTCTTAGTCTGATCCGTCGTCTAGGACCTGTTTGCCTTGGGAGACCCTACCAGGGGTGTCAGGAAACTTTCTCAGTTAGATAGGACTGTAAAAAATGCTGTTAGTTCATACCCCAGTTTCCTAACACACAAAAAAATTCAAATAAAGATCAAATAAAGGTCTGATCAAATAAAGAATCAAATACGAGATCTTAAAGTTTTAAAAGTTTTACTTGCAAGCAAGGAGTGCAGAACAATGATTACATTCAGAACTGCACTGAGGAACTCAGGGCTCAAAGCTTAAATACAGTTTTCTTACATACACATCAATGGTCAGTACCTTAACCCTTTACAGCCATGTGGTGTTCACGCACCACTTCTGAGCGCTGATTGGCAAAAGCTGCTTCAAACAAAGATTCTCCACCAATAGAAAACATGTACATGTGCTGAGCTATTCTGCTCAGTAACTCAGGTTAGATCAAAGAAATACACTTTGGATTCTTTTCCTTTTTGATGTTCTGTTTTCCTCATTATTTGGGCAGAGAAACTGGTTCAGGCCAGTTCTGTGACCTGTCTCTATCTCCAAGCGTAACAGTCCGTACCATACACCATCCTACTACATCCATGTAAACCATCAGCATGCACACCTTTCTTCAGTACTTTTAGTACAGCATTTAAAAACAATATAAATTGATATGGAATAAATATATTGTAAAGATTGAATAAATGTATTTACAATATCTTAACAAGGGGCATTAAGCCCCCGACAACATAGCTCCTAGATTCATTCTTAGTGTTGTATTGATTTTAATAAAATGAATTTAATTGATAAATGCCGAAACTAGCCGGAGTTATATCAGAAATAAGACATAAGAAAAGTTTATTACTGTATAATCTGGTCCTATCCCTTCTGCAAGACACATATTAACAAAGAGGATATGAAATGTTTTTGATGATGATAAACAATATTTTCTATGCAACATGAAGTTATACTGATTATATAAACAAGTTAAAAACTTTTAGACAGCACATGCATTAAGTACTGGTCAGAAGATTTTCTACGAAATCAGTAAGGGCTAAGGATCAGGGAGGAGTCCAGTGGTCTTTCAAATGGAATGTTGCAGGGTAGATTCCAGATTTAACAGCCCACATACTCCCCTGTAGGCCATGTTGTCAGTTGGTAGATGGAGAATCATGTAATGTAAAACACTTTAAATATCTGGATCTACGGAAATTTCCACCTCCATGTGGGTTATGTTCCACCTCTTTTCATTTCTAAATGCCTTAGTGCCTAAGAGAGTCTTATTTTGTTAACAGTTTTAAATTATTTTCCCTCTGCATTTTCCCTCTTGGGCTCCCATTAGAAGGAGTCCAAGTACCACTGGTGGTACACATACCTTTATTTGAGAACCACTGCCACATTCCAATGAATACATTTATCAGAGTGGACTAAGGATTTTGTTTTTCCTTTTTTAAGATGATATGGGTTTTATTATATGGTATTTTCCTATAGTTAACAGTAATACTAATCCACAAGTGCTTTCTCATTGAACAAAATGCTATTTTCAAACGACAATACTCCACGTATATACGTATAAATGTGCTTATATTTTAATGATATACGCACTCTTTATTGTTTCCTTTTAATGTTGAATATAAAACGTCTTAGTATAATGCAACGTAGGCTAGTAAATATAGTTGTTTTGCAGCGCCATCCAGCGACAAAAGCACGACATGTTAGATGGCATTATGTTTGGCGCCGATGGAGGGAGTCACTCCTGAGATCTTTGGTCAATCAGACGGCAGAATTTCCGGTCGGCATTTTGTTCTACGAGAGGGGAGCCTCTTGATGAACGCAACAATCGTCATATTTCGCGTTTTTAGTCGAAAAGAGCTGCACTTCTTGGCAATGTCGACACAGACAGACAGACAGAAACTCCTAAGAACGAATGTTTTCCCATTTGTTGCTCGTCAAAACATTCACCCTTGAGTGTCGGTAGAAGAAGGAATCAGTCCGACCCGGATTATTGTTGATAGCTAGCAGACGAGCTTAGCAGCTAGCTGGCAGAGCCAGTCGAGTTCCTGCTGGAGGAGCTGCGAGAGAGAAGAAAGGGGGAGCTAGAGATACAGACGCGGACACAAACCAAACTAAAACATCCCCCTCCCTTGAACGCAACATCCGAAGGTAAAACATTTTTTCAGTGGCACAGTTGTTTTCGGTTGCAATTATGAAATTCTGGGTTAGTGTATGCTATGCTGCAGGACCACCTACGGCGTCGTTAATCGTTGACCGGGAGGTAGCGAAAGCTAGTGAACTAGCCAGCCAGGCTAGCTTAGGTGTGTTTTTGCTGTGCCGAAGCGCACGGCCTCAAACTGGATGTCATTTGACGAGCCAGAAGCTTGGGTCATTGCCACATATATAGTATGGGGGCTCTAGTGTTTACATTCAGTTACTCAAACCCGTTACATTTGTCGAACTCAGTGGAAAATAGGCTAGAGTTTATTTACGCAAACCAGCGCTTCCCTGTATTATGTGATTCTCCTTCCCCTTATTTTAAACGATGAGTAGCGGTAAAGGCTAAACCCAACAACAGTTTGAGCTAGTTAGCACACTTAGCTGACTTAAAACACATGAAAATGGTTTTAAATGTATGTTGAAAAACTAGTGTTAGTAATTTTAGGTGCCAAGTTGTAGCATTAGCTGTACCTTAGCTCGTAAGATGTACACAGTCAACGTCTTGGCTCCAGACTGCTTGTGGTTTTGTTCGCTAGTAGCGGACTGCAGCTGATTATGCAGCCTACATAAACACATGCATTGAAGTGTCCAGAAGAACAATACGAGTTGGCTAATTTGTGTGTTTGTTTATAAAGTCTCAATTACGTATGTGTTGTTTTCCCGTGGCGTGGGTAATGTTGCATTTCGTTACCACCTTATTTTGAAATGTTTTGATTCACCACAGGCTGCGTTGCCACAGCTTTCGTCGCTCGGTATTCGTTGGCATTTTGTAACATGGTTTTGGTATTTCAAGTATTGTGTACAATTTTTTTTCTTTACCTCACTCCAAATCAGCGGGTATGTTTTCTGTAGTTATCACTTTTCACTACGCGTTTTGTGGTTGTTGCTGCTTACTGGCTACTGAAGGATGCAGCCCCCCACTACTGCCGCCACCATCACAGTGTATCTGCTCATTTGTGCTGCCTTCTGCTTGTCAGTCTCACAGCTGTCAGCTAAGCCTCTGTCCACCGGGGAAGTGAGACCACATAGACGAAGCTTGAACACAGAATCACCCGAAACTGTTATATTTGTGAAATCTATTTATTCATCCTCTATTACGCTATATTAGATTAAAGTATTCCCTCGACCCCAACGGTCTGCTGGCACTCGAGCGTGTTTACATTCTGTTTACCTATTTATAATGGAAGAAGTAAAATGCACGTTCGTTTTTTTTCATTTTTAATGATGGATTGTATTTTTAATTAAATTTACATTAAGGTAAACAGTGTAACACACTATTCAATATCATAAATCAGAAATTTGTATGGCTACTCTAATATTAATTTAACTCTAAGCAGCAGTTCTAACGATAAACTTTAATTGTCAAGTGTCATTTTGCAACGTTGGCTCAGTGTTACTCACTACATTTTTTACAATTGTCCATATTTGTACGCCTAGATTTACACGTGAAAAATCTGACCTAGAGCTGTGTTCTCTTTCTACAGATTAGAGTAGGATTTTGATTATCTGAAATGTCCTAACGCGACTGCAAAGATTTCTCCGAAAAGGTATTTGCATCTGTCATTTAAAAAAACAGTTGAAACTATTTAATGTGACATCACAGTTTGAGGGTAGTTTATCTTTGTATATGAATACAAAGATGAATACTTTATTTTTGCATTTAAGAGAAGAATGTAGATGACAGTTGAGTGTTAATCTGGTTTGTTGAAACGATAAGCTTTAAACATGATGCGTGGGATTCTGTGAAAATTGGAGCTGACCTTTCTCTCTGATTTCCTTTGACCTCATGTAGACTCTTTTATGTAATGTCAAGGATATTTAATGTGGTAGAGGGTCTAGGCAGATTAAGTGTGTCAAAGAGCCCAGATTTGTGCACAGTGTTCATAATAAGCTGAAAGCAAGGACATCTCACTTGAAAAACACTGAAAATTAGCATATCATTTGGACCCGTAGCAGATAAATTTACAAATCAAAATCAAAAGTACATTAATAGTTTTATGAAGGGAAGAATTTTAGACTCACTTGTAAATGCTTAATGCGTAATGCTTAACAATGATTAAAATCTTATCTGTGCCATGCTTATTCAATTAAACTCACCAGTATTTTGATTTTATATATATATATATTTATAATTGGTTTCTTATGATAAAATTGCCAATGGTTTATGTAATAAAGAAGAAACTTTAAACAAGTCCTCTATTTAGTCATGTGTATTTAGTTTTTGACCTGTTGCTATGGAAAGCAGAAAAAAGGTCATGGATTATGATAATAACGTTCAATTCCTATAATGACACTGAATTCAGTTTGTTCTTGTTCCAAGAAATGTAAGTCTCTAGTTAGTTAGTTCTCTGGTTATTATTGTTGCTGGAAAACATTGATGTTCTTTTTTTATACACCATCATTTTTTTTCTATTCTGCTCACACTCCATCCCGCTTTTGTCCAGGTGTCAGGAGATGTGAGGACAGGTGCTGTCCATCAACCCCCTGATCTACCTGTGCATCAACACACTCACCCACCCTCACCTTCAGCATGAATGGGGATATGCCTCATGTTCCCATTACCACTCTTGCTGGGATAGCTAGCTTAACAGACTGTGAGTAACACTGCTGTCTGATGTAACCATAATGTAAAGTCTGAATACTTAAATTATGTCTACACAAATGATTTTCTGACTGTATAGCCTGTCTTCCCAACGTAAAACCAACTCTCCTTTACCACAGTGTTGAACCAGCTACCCTTACCCTCCCCTCTCCCTGCCACCGCCACCAAGAGCCTCCTATACAATGGGAGGATCGCGGAGGAGGTCACCTGTCTGCTGGGATGCCGGGATGAGACTCTGGCCACTCAGCTAGCCCATAGCCTCAACCAGGTCTCCACTGAGCATATGTGAGTTTTCAAATTAAATTGCTCTAACTGTTGAAGTCTGAATTCTGGAAACCAAAACCGACCCTACTTTGATTTTATGGGAGCTATATTGTGAGTCATTCGTTTCCTTAATGCCTTCATAATGTTTTCATGAAAATCTAATAAATTGTTTTCATGATCTGGTCATGCTCTTATAGAGAGCTAAAAGACAACCTGGGTAGTGATGAGCCAGAGGGCGATGCACCACTGTTGCTGCAGACAATGCTGGCCAGGAACCCTGGCATCTTCAGGGAGAAAAGTACAGACAAACACACCTGTCATAAAAAGATCCCAGCAAGGTTTTTATCAAAAAGCAGAATAAACATGCTGTTTCTCCATTTCCAAACAGATGTTATGCAGCAACAAATGGTACCACCATTCAAAATCACCCAGAATTCCATGCACAGTCCCACTCAGTCAACAAACTTCCAACCTTCAATTTCTTCGAGTCCATCAAGGTGGGTTTTTCAGTGAGAATATTTAAAAATGTCATAATAACATAAACCAATTCTCCATTATTCATCATTTACAACAACATTAAGTTATAACATCAGAATTGTCTTGTTTCCAGTCGGTTTGTGGCCCCCCCGACTGGGTCCAGTAGTCGATACATGGGCCAGCAGAACAGTCCAGTACCCAGTCCCTACACTCCCCAAAGCCCTGCCACGGGTTACATCCAACAGTATCCTCACCAACAACCTCCTTGTTATAACCAACACCAACAGATACAACCAGGTGAGTAATTATGTCACATGTTTGTATTTATGCATGTACAGCAAATATGAACATATGTATGAGCTGTTCTCTGGTAACAATATATACTTATACTTGACTGTTTATTGATTAATTCTTTGGTTTGAAGTTTGTCAGTTTAGCGTAATTATATATATATCTATCTATCTATA